ACGCCTCGACAGAGGAGTGTAATTGCCTCTTAAGTGGCCCGGTACTTTTTGTTTTGACCTTTGCGTTGAGTGCACGTAAAGTAGTGAAAAATGTCACAGCTGCCTAAGTGCAGTAATCAAAGCCACTGACATTTCCACACTCAAGTCAAACGTGTTTCTCGGCACCAGCTCCATCAGTAGCACTGGGACACACACACACACACACACGCACATGCACACACAGAAACAAATAAATTCTGTCTGACTAAAAGTGCAACAGTGAATATCTACATTATTATGCATAGCTTTTAGATGTTAGCACTGATGCGAGTAGCACTCTTGCCGTGTTTATATGAGTGGGCCCATACTTTCAAAGTGTTTCCAGCTCAAATTAAAGCCACGTGCTACACAAAAGCAGAAATTATAGCATAACACTTTGTTTTTACGCCATTAAACAAACCATCAGCGGCGCTGCGTGTTTGCATGAGCAGCCCTTTATTGATTTTGTTGCATGTTCTCCTGTTTGCACACGACAACCAGGCAGTTTTGCTAACTTTCCAATGAAACCGGCATAGCGTGCCTTTACAGCACACCCATCACACTACGTTCTACTTTTATTCTTGGGTTATAACAATTTTTCATGTTAAAGTGATCAAAATAAATCCTTTTTTATCCCTAATTATCTTACTCTGAGCAATCCTCAGCATTTTAACTCTTGTCCCTTTAAGGCTACAATTACTCAAACCAGAAGGTTAAGCTAACGTTCTTCTCACAGGCTGTCCTCTGGCTTCACCTCGGCAATCAGAATATGCTACTCATAGGCACCATCTCCTCCACCTGCAGGTGCGGAGGTTCAAAACTCCAACCAAAAACCATCCTGTCTCATACTGATTGACAGTTTAAAAAAAAAAATCAGGTCCAGAACATCTGCAGGAACAAAGATACAGCAGGACATGTTTGGTAAATGTTATACTTTTTGCCTGAATATGGTGGATAAGGTCTTTCAAATAACAAATGTATGTATATGCTTTGCTATCGTTGCATGACACAAAGGCACTGAAAGGTCGGATGATGTGAAGAACCTGTGCTGTCAGGAAATACCAAAGGTTACATATCTCCCTGTGTCATCACTCACAGCTGCTTTTATGCGTACAAATTCAGCTCGCAGCACTTGCAGCTTTGCTATAAGCAACATGTGACAAGTCATTTAATCGCACATACAGCTTATATTGTTATATTCTGACTCCTCAGCACTCTCTTTTATAAATTAAACAACCTTTCCTTTTAGCTTTAGCCTAGCTGAAAATCCAGTTTCATCGGTGCTCTGCTGACTAAAAAGTCCTCTGAGAATTGGCGTGAACAAATAAACATGATGCTGTTTAGCTACCGTTGGGCTAAAAAAAGAAAAGAAAATGTAGCTACTGTTGTTTTGGGTTTTTTCTCTAGTAAAGCAAGAAAAAGTGCTGATAACTTTCTTACATAACCAAGTGTTTAGAGCAGTCTAAAGCCTGAGCTTTTGCCTCACAGGGATTACGTGTACACACACTGACCTCATTATTTGACATTTTTACCATGGGTCATCCCATGTCAGCTCACCAAATGCTTCCAGCCTGCCTGTCTCTGATTTCCCTGAAGAAATTACAGGGTGACGATACAATTTTGAATTCTTTAAATAAGAAACCTGTCAAA